TCAAGCTGACATACCTTGCACAACATAGTAGATGAGAAAACCAAGTTGCCATTGGCGGATTTTGTATATTCCGGAAGGATGTACAGGTAAAGACTATGGGTCCTTGAACAAAAAGTTGGGCCAACTCAAATCGCTTTAAACGCCATCCTCGAAAAATTTAACCGCGTTTCACCATCCAGAAAATATTTTGAAGTTCGCTTATGTTTTTCAAGTGTTGTAGGTGTGTTTCGATTGTTGTCATCTGAGGACGACCTGAAAAGAATTACCTTCATGAGTCGAGCTTTAAACAATTGCTTCCAAAAAAAATTCTCGGTTGTCGTAAATGGTCAAGTTCAAATTATATTACCTTAATTTCTTTAATCTCAGTAAGTGGTTGACAGAAAAATCGAAAAGTATGAGCATTAAAAAAAATTCCGAGTTTTTGCGTGCACAGAAGGAACAAGAACCTGGTGAACTTGAATAAAATCGGAAAATTCCATATCACCAAAATTGGTAGTAAAATTCCTGCAGTTGAATAACACTTAAATCCCTAAATTGAAGTAACTGCAAAAGCAGAGGACCTGGCCAGTTGTAGAAACCATTTTAATTCTCTTATGTTAGCGTTAAAGTGGAATCAAGCAAGTGTCTCTCTTGCTGTTAGTTTTGAATTTAACCGTGAGCTCCAAATACCCGTTACGCAACGAAGTGTTCTCGGTTTTGTTTCCGCGGTCTTGGACGCTAATTGTTTGTTGGCTCCCTAATGCGCAAGGGCGCGCCTGCTTCTTCAGATTTTTTGTTGCATAACTGGGCATTAATTGTATAACACCTCATGAGAAGCAAACCGGAAGCATTTCATAGAGTGGTTTCCAACTTCGTATGTCTTAGAAGAGGTAGTATTTTCCCGGGGCTTTTTCAATAATTCATTTGATCATTGTGAGCTCCATATGTTTGGCGATGGAGCGCAAGATAAGTTTTGCGCGAGTAGTTTTCTTTTTGCCCTGATTTTTGTGTCTCAGAAGACTAAAAACACATTGGTTTTTCGTAAAGTAGGTATAGCACAAACGAAGGTTTTGTCCAAGCTGAATATGAAATTGCAGGCAGCCTTGATGGCATCTCGTTTGATGAAAAACTTAATACGGGCACTCTCATTCACTGTAGCCCTCACTTTCATCGGGAGCGAAAACGCCACGTTTTTAAGACTCTTTCGCTTCATTTATAAATTACCGACGTTCGTTGCTAACTGGGTTTGTTAGAAAAAAAATTCACCACTAGGAAACAAGGATCCTATCTGAAAAGTGGAGATAATCCCGCGGAAACCGGTAAACGCGGAACCTTGACCAAAAGGCTAAAATAAACAGTTGTGTCGAGGGTCTCAGCTTCTTGTTAGGCATTGAGTGGCCTTTGAAATTGAGTTTGGATGGCGTAATTAATACCCTCCTACAAAAGCTTAAGGACGACATTTTAACTAACGTATGCTATGACGACTAACTAAAATTATCGGCTCCAGTTGAGAGAAACTTAGCAGTTGTACAAAACTACAGCGATAAGTTTGTTTTGTGTTGAGGTAAATGCCAAAACACAAGCACCTACGCGATCCCATCGCTCAAATTACGGAGCCGGCCAAATTAAGAAATTCGAAAGATGAAATGCAAACTTTGGCTCAGAACAAATCGTTCTCGCTTGCGTTCAGGAAACTTCAATCAGGTATACCCGAAAAAAAGTCTAGTTGCATCGCAGGTTACTGACTGTTTATTGGCCCTAATGGCCTTATCTGTTCGACAGGACGGGTTCCAGGCTTAGTCGAAACAAGTTTCAAAGTCAAACTTCATTTTATCTTGGAATCTTGTCACTTGTTTATAAATCTGTGTCTGAGAAATTCGCCTTTCGCCCATCATCATCGTCACTTGAATTTTTTGTGGTCTACTGTACATGTAGTTTTTTTTAAGTATTCGGTCTGCGAGCGATCCTCCGTGCAACTGAAATTTGTTGCTTTTGCGGAAAAAGCAAGGCAAGAACATTATATTCAATGATGTCAGACCCCCTTGTCGAACGGTTTGATTAATTTCAAAGGCCATCCGGTAAATGATGAGTGAGTTTCTGTGGTCGCTTTTTCATGTGACTTTTTGCCGCAGAAGGAAGACAACAAAGGCTTTTTGTTCAACTGCATAACAGCTAATGCCGTCTATGAACAACGGCTTATGTGTCATGGGGATTGAAAGATTTACCGCCCGCCGTAGTGCGCCAGGTGTTTTTTGGTCAGACAACCGAACCATTTTTGTTGGAGCTAAGAAAAAGTTTTTGATTTTGTGTAGAAATTTATAATTTCCAGGCTCCCTCTTTGTTAGTGCAAAAAAGGATTGAAAGCAATTACTATCTGCACTTGGTGCCGCATTGGCTGGTCTTTGGAAAATAAGTGCGCATTTGCAAACGTGTTTTATACTCAGTCATTGTACTCGCAAAAAAACGGATAAGGTATTGTCTGCCAGATTTTGTTTATTGGAGCTACCGTCAAATGCACACCCAATTACAACTTTTGGTCTCAATTCGACAGAATTGGAACCCCTAACCCCAACTTTTTTCATTTAATTTTACCTCGCTAACACTAGATGAAATCTTTGGAAACTGAAAGCGCAAACGCTATTTGGCAGTGTTGGCTGAAGGAGTATGTCCCTTCCTTGAACAACGGCTCAAAATGGCTAGCCGTTTTGAACCGTGAATTACGTACTAGTTTGGATCATCGTTCTCAGCACCCATCGTGGGCGCTACCCTTATACCGATTAACTGCTTTGATTTACGAAAATAGTGAAACTGCTCGATCTGCCACTGATAAGACATTTTCGGGTCTTTAAGTAAGGACTCTCGTAATTCTTGCTCCGGTTCTCGCCTTTTCGGGGATGAGGATGCTACTGAACAGGTACTAAAAAACTATCAAGACAGTGAACTAAACAGAACGCGTGGCTTATGCTACATATAGGAATTACCATCCATCCAACCTTTTGTTACCAAAATCGAAACTCCACCCACAAAAAAATCGCTTATACGTGAAATTTATCAATTTATTCACTAAATGGCCTTGAACGATCTTGATTGACAGTTTTCATCTGTCAAAACCGTGTTTTGCCAAAGTTTGATCTCAAGACAAACGCATAAAGCTAGCTTGTGGTAAAAGTAGAAAGTTTATCGAGTTTGTTTTGTGTAATTAAACACTAAACACTAAACAACAAACACTTTATAATAGTTTTGGATGCAGTATGTTTCGAACTGCAGTGAGATTATCAAATTTAAAAGTCAGACAAAATAGGGACTGGAAAGTCGCCTGAAGTTGGATCGGACATTTAAGTAGCGCCTATTTATATCAAATCTTGAATGTGATTCTTTTCAAAATAATCTTCCGCGGTCTTCAAAATAATTGAAAACTTTTTATGTGAGAAAAAACTGTTGGGAGTACTTCGCTCGGAAAAAGTTACTGCCAGAATAGATGAGGGGTTTGTCAATATATGTGTGATCATAAATTCGATGAAAATTTTTTTTTGAAAACTGGAGGTGTTAAAAAAACCGCCTCAAAACCACACAGTGTCATCAGCTGAGGGAGTGATTTTTTGGGGGGTTTGGGGGTGTTTTTTTTTGGATAAATTGTTTTCTTTTTTCAACGAGCCATTTTTGACAGAACTTTCTTATATTAGCGGAAAATTAATGTTGTCTTGAACTCAAATCTAAGAAGATGTTTGACCCGTCATCATTTAAAAAAAAATTATCTGGGTTTAAAGATTGCTAATTTGACCAATTAGGAATAAGTAAGGCGCGATATATTTCGTACTATTAAAGAGTAAACAAAGATTTAATCCGTGTTAGAAATCGTTTCAAATTGAATTGAGGCATCATTTTTGGTCTTATACTTAGTTTGGTGTAAGCAAGTTCGTTCACTCTGTACTTAACATAGCATTTAGTGGGGATGATTTTCAAAAAAGCCTCACTTTTTTTGAAAATTTAACTTTTTGTTGAAAATTTCATCTATTTTCAAAGCAAACCGAGCACTTATCTAAGGACCAGGGGCGGATCTAGGATTTTCTCGAGGGGGGGGGGTGGTGTCGGATTTTTAAAAAATGTCGAATCTGAGTTTTTCTTAATCACTATAAAGACCCCATTACGCTCAAATTTTCTGCGCCGCAGACAAAATTCTGAGAACAGGCCAATAAAGCGTTTTTAGGCAGTTTTAGAAAAATTTTGACAAAAAAGTCGCGTTTTTTTAATGCCAAACCCCCCCCCCCCCCCCCCTCAAAATTAGTACATTTTGGCGCCAAATTCGCCTAGAGAAAAATTTTGGGGTCCGTCACCAAAAATGGATACCTGAAGTTCGTATAAATTCGGGTCGGCAGGTGCTCGAATTCCTGAGGAGAAGGGGGGGTGGGTCCGTCACCAAAATTTTTTTTAGGGTCTGTCACCAAAAAAAATGCATATGTGAAAATAGTACAAAGTTGGGTCGGCAGGGGCTCGAATTCCTGAGGAGGGAAGTGAAGACGTCCGCAACTCCCCCCCCCCTAAATCCGCTGGTTCTAGTGATCTTAAAATGCAGTCGCAACTTTCAGGGCTTCCCCTTAATACGATCAGTCTTTGATTAGATGCATCTTGAAACCAATTATGATAAGATTCATCTTGAAACCATTTTAAAAACATACTTTTTTAAAATTCCACTATTTCGAATGAATTTCTTGCAAATAATTGCTTTTTCTAGATGCAACATAATGGGACTTCAAATTAACATTTATCAAGACTAATTAACATTTATCAAGACTCCGAAGATTGGTAAGTAATTACAAAAACGGCCAGGCGCTTTGTGGAGTTTTGAAATTGGTGAACTGAACTTTTTTTGGCTTCTTGCAGCAAGCGGCCTACACGAGAAAGTATATCTGATCCCCCGTTGCCCACGGGTGATCTACCAAGTCAGTTTTTGAAGTCTATGATTTTGTAGTTTTCAGACTGAAGGTTGATTCGCACTTTGATGCCATATAGCACTCTCACATTCATATCATGTAGATTATCATGGAGCTGAATAGGATAGTGCCTACGAGGAAAAACACGCCAAAGAAAGCGTCATGTGCTTTGGAATAGCTCTTGATTTTCTTCACACTTTCAATTACCGATGCGGATTCTTCATCTTGTAAATGACTATGGCGACCGTCTGTCGAAACACGCTCGTTGTACATTTCGCTCAGCTTGAGCGAACTCCTTCCCAAGTCTTCCAGAGCTTGGCGATCCGTGCAGCTCCTTGTCTGGGTGGCATTGATAGAAATAGTCGCAAAGAGCATGGTCAGACATGATATCACAATACTTGACAAGAAATAGTAACTGATTCTTGGGAAAGTCTTGGAAGTTTGCGGCACAAACTCCGTCACCAATGTCAAGTTTACACAAAGTGCTAGGGTCACAGTTATCCCAAAGGTCAGTTTCTCCCCATGTTCCCCGGGAATGAAGAACGTTAGAGCGCTGAGGGTGAGAAGAAATGCATTTGGTAGTATGAGATTCTGCACGTAGAATGTCGAGAGACGTTTGTATGTGACTGCTACTGTAATTGTGGCACTAGATGCGTTTAGGTCATCATTGGATTGATTCTGACAATCGGTACCTGTTTAAAGCACAAAGCGATACAAATGCCAAAATATGAAGATATTCTTCATCAAAATGGAGCTTGCGAAAGCCCTATTTTATGACTTTATTGAAAAATTGGCGCTCAATTAATTGATATCAACCAGTTTAAAAAAAACTGAAAACGTTTTCAAAAAAATTGATCATAATTTATATTTTTTTGAAAGCCCCGTTATGCATAGCAAAAAAAATTATATGGTATACACGCTCTTGAATTTGTTCCACAAAAACATTACACTCACCCTTTAATGTCCAAAGGCTGTCTTGCATATATTGAGAGAGATCGACAGGACTGCACGTGAGATTGATCTCTCCTTTGAAATACTGCCAGGAGCCCACCACAATTTCGCAAGTCTGCGTATCGAATGGAAACGACGTCACATCGAGCGAGCATGTCGTTTTGTAGTTCACGGGTCTTGCCCAAACAACTTCGCCAGTGTAATAGACCGTTATAGGAATCGAATGGTCGTATTTCTCCAGATCGAAGCTCCCCACGTCATTGAACGGCAGAATGTCCGGGGTCCATATGTGGCTCCTGTAAAACCTCAACCACTCTAATCCCTGGAAATTCCTTGGATTCCACTGGAGGAATTCGTCAGTCCATTCCAGACGCTGGAACATCAACATTTCAATGGTCTGGTCTTTTGTCTTCAGGTCAACAAGCTGGTATATGATAGTTTTGAAGGATACGTTGACAGGGGTTTCGGGGTTTAAGACTGGCCTCGTGGATATGTCATAACCTTCCCTTAACTCGACTCGGAGTCGGTTTTCGGGCGAAGTTTTGGAAGCACTAAGTTTCGCTAAGGTAAGAATACATTCAATAAGCATCAGAAATTTTTGCAGCATTCTGGTTTGAACTGTCATTCTGAAAAGTAAGATATAACAGTATGCAGATTGAAATGGTAATCTGGGTTCTATAAAAAGGAAAATGGTAGGAGATAATTGAAGTTTAATTTCCGTGGCTGTCCACTTAATTTATTTAATCCGATCAATCAGAAGATAATTAGAAATAGAAGCCATTCAGACGACAGCAGCGTCTACATCTACCCGGAGCAGAACAACTAACATAACTTCTTGTAGCAAATGTATTATTAATTCGGCATTTAAAACACTTCTTGGGTTTTCTGTTTTCAGTAAATTCAAATTTTGAAAATTAATTCAAAGAGCAATATTATATTAAATAACAGTAATCCATGAGTATATTGAAATAATTTTATAGAAAAATTTGACTTTATTTGGACAAAACCGTGAGATACCTTTTAATTTCAGAAAGGACGCGGATTGTGACTTATGCTCATAGTTTTGTCGGCTCAATGTTACTTTCTGAAAACCAACTAAATTTTGTAAGAAGATCTGCTCAATTGAATTTTCGGAACTTTGATGAAAAAAGTAAGTTATCTTTAATTTTCACCGAGCCGCTAAAAGCAGTCAGCTTTCAAAAAAACAGCAACATGCCGCTCTAATTTGAAAGCTTCATAAAGGAACTGAAGGAATTCCGGAAGCTTTTCCCTTAAAAGCCTTTAGTTTTAGTATCATTTGTTTTTTTGTTAACTTACATGGATGCTCTTAATGGGGCTATTCATTTTTTTATCCGATGCAAAACATAGCTGACATAAGCAATTCGCATCCGTCGCGAACTAAAACATTTTTGAGGTCCAAAAATACTTGAGAATTATGATCCCGGAATAGAAAATATCCTCCGAGACACAGCTAATCTTTTACCGTTTTAAACAATTTTTACGAACTTGGTTTTTTTGCCTCTCAACATTACAAATCGATTTTAAAACAGCTATACACTCAAAGTATCGAGCATGCTATTGCAGAAGCACCTCCTCCGAAAGTACTGCCACTCAAACCCCCCGATACCTCCTCCTCTGAAGAAACCTTCCCTAGCGGCACCAGGGGAACCTTTGTCCAATTAAGGGCTGTCTATAATCCCTACTAAACGCTTACTTAAACAGAATAGACCCAAATTTCACTCCAAACTGTCCCACTGTACTTCCCACACACCATTTTACACCTTTTTAATTGCTCGAAGAACACCACTACTCTAACCCCAATTGACTTGTGGCTTCGGCCGACCAAAGTCGCACATTTTCTAGGACTCAGTTTGAGCATGCTGGACGCGTCCCCTGGAGTCTAACAACCACAAAAACAACAACAACAACAACAACAACAACAACAACAACAACAACAACAACAACAACAACAACAACAACAACAACAACAACAACAACAACGTAGGCCGGCGTGACAACCAATCACCAAATTCGGGTTTCTGGGCTTTCTAACTTTACAAACAATCCAAATTTTTCTTATATACTTTATTAAAATTATTCTTTTTACCAAAATATCCAAAAAACTCTTCAAAAACGAAATTTTTTTCAGCAATTGATAATACAAAGCTGATTTAAATTAACCGGACACAACGACCAACATTTGAAATTTTAAATGTCTTCTTCTCAAATTGGGTTAAGATTTGACAAAAAGTAAAGAGAGGAAAAGCTGCTTAGATTTTCACCAGAATTATTATAGTGCAATTTTTCAGCCACTTTTCTTTAACAAAATTTTAGCCAAAATGAGTTGTTTTTTAATTAACCAAGAATTACGATGAAAGTACGAAATCAATTGATGAGAATGTTTTATCAAAAGAAACTTTTACGCAGTTTTTCCCAACAATTTTTTCTAAGTGCAAGAATTTCATTGACAGTTTGAAATTTTTTGGCGAAAAACTTTAATTTTTGTATAGTAAGTGTGACCTTTCTTGGCTCTCAATTAAAAAAATTTTTTATACAGATTTTTGGAAAAAAGTTATCCAGAATTTTATTGAGCAGTGTACGATGTTTTTAATATATCTCTCCCATCAATTAATTTCATAGTTTCAGCGTAGTTTTTGATTAAATGGAAAAAAGTTTGGTGTAAAATTGCACCATACTTAATCTGGTGAAGTTTCAAGCAATTTTTGTTCACTTCAATATTTGTCTAAATTTAACCCTGTTAGAGAAAAAACTTGGTTGAAATTTCAAATGTAGTTCGTCGTGTCAGGTTAATTTAAATCACGACTGTATAGTTCTTGGAAAATACAAGAAAAAGTGAGCAAAAAAGCAAAACATCGGAGAAGCCTCCAAGAAGAAACTCATTTTTCATAGCAACGTGACAAAGACTCTTCATAAGTTTTTGTAAAAGCTTTTTTAATTAAACTCAATAAATATTTTAAAGCTTGCTTAGTTGACAGAATGGATTTTAGTTTCTAAAATTGCTTACCATTTCAATACGAGCTGAAGAATTCAGTTTTGCCTATTTTGAAAGCAAAGTTACTTTGCTAGCTCCTTCCTTTTATGCAAATTTCTTATCTCTTAAATCTCGCTAAGCGGGTTTCAATCGTCTCTTATAAAAAACTTTTGTGCTCGATTTCGAGCTTCAACTTTTAGAAGTTAATCTTTTCCTCTTAATAAAACGTGCAAAAAAAGGCATAGCGATCAAGTTTTTGGGAGTCTTTCTGATAGCGTGTTTCTATATTTGGCACGTTTGTTGCCCGAAAAAGCTGGTTCTGACAAAAATTACGCTCTGATAACAGCGTTACTATGCACAAACTAGAACATAGGTCAGGAGTGCATTTACGAATTTTTCAATTGTTTTGCAGAAGTTTGTTGAACTTTGAAACAAATTTGAAAATTTTTGATTCCTAAAATGGTGCAATTAATTTCCAAAAACTAACTTTATTCGGATAAAACCATGCATTTACGGCTTAAATTAAGCATAAGTACGCTATTAAGCATAAGTACGCAGAGGGTGAAATTTTGTAGGATGAGTTTTTATGTTTAAAAAGTTGGCAATTTTACTGACGACGGAGGGCCCAGTTGAAGGTCCATGAATGAACAGGTGGGAAATATCAGTTTGTATGAGTATTCTGTTTTCAAACGCAAAAAGCAAGTGAAGTGGGTACCGTCATCGGTTATGATTCTCTGAACTGTTAATCGTAATCTGAAACTTGTGACATAACCAAATCTCATTTGACTCAGCAACATCCCGCCTTTTAAAAATGATCTCCGGTAATTGGGTCTAAGAAAGGCTGTATTCTTATTCAGCTCTTATACCCCCTGGGCATAGTTTAGTTTCCGTGACCTCCTTAGATTTGCAAATCAAATTCATGGGAACAAACAATAAAAGAAGGATGACTAAGAAATCCTATTAAATTTTTCCAAAACTTAAATCTTGGTTTCACATAGAATTGAATGGAGAACACCGTTCTGTTCTGAAGCATTATGTTTGATATCGTAGAGTAACTGCCCTTACCTAGGAAACTCTTTAATTCTGCCATGAAATAATTAATTTACGATCTCAAATTCTGGTCAGGAATTCTTTGCGAAATGTTTAAATAAGCTTTTTTCTAATCTAAATTCTGGTCAGAAATTTCTGAAACTGGGCTATTTCTAATCAGAAAAACCTTATTTCTTATCTAATTTCTGTTCAGAAATTTTTAAAACCTAGGCTTTTGAAAACAATTGATTTTTATACATTCAATCTAATCTAAATTCTGGTCAGAAATTTTCTGAAACTGGGCTATTTCTAATCAGAAAAACCTTATTTCTTATCTAATTTCTGTTCAGAAATTTTTTAAAACCTAGGCTTTTGAAAACAATTGATTTTTATACATTCAATTAAAAACTTGTCGAAATATTATGAATAACCAGAAAATATTAATTACGTTTTCCGGTAAGAATGTTCACTGTCGAGCCACAATAATTTCTGCAGTGCACTGTTTTGTACTTATTCGAGTTTTAGTCTGGACTGAGGGTTCCACAAAATAGGAGGAATCCCAAACCGGTGCACCGCCTTGTTCCGTCTCAGTTCTGCCTAAACAACTAAAATTAGGCCGAAGTTAATCACAGATTCGTACAAGTTACCATGCTACAATTACGAGTTATAGAGTTTTAAAAAAATAGTACAATTTTGTTTATATAAAAGTATGCATGCATTATAGAACCTCTTGCATTAAACCTTAAAGGTTCTTTAGATGCATCTATGTGTATGTATGGGCGTGTTAGTAAACATGACTTGCCTGAAATTATAAAAATTTGCAAAAAAAAATATTTTTAAAATTTCATTGTAAAACAGATTTTGGGCAAAAACAACTAAGAGCAAATCAAGAAAGAGGTCACAAAAAATCAAAATTTGAGCTCAACAATTTTCACATAAATTATCAAAATTTATCAATGTCAATCAGATATTGGGCAAAATTCTATGTAACGAATCAAAAAATGGTCAAAGTAAACAAAATTTTTGGCTTGAAAATTTGCAATGAAATCATGAAAAATTATCATCGTAAGTAAGATATTGGGCCAAAATCTATGTCACAAATCAAAAAAATGGTCGAAATAAATCGAATTTTGAGCTCGAAAGTACTTTATAGAAAATGATCATTGCAAAACTAAAATAGATTAATTTGGAAAGATTACTGGATAAATTTAACCCCCCAAGAGACTTATTCCAGTTTTTTATTTTTACTGGGATCTTCAGCTCTTCTTATCTCGGACGTTTATACGCATTTAAAAAACTTCTGAACTCTTAGTTTTTTCTGTTGCTTCTGAATAATCAACTTTATTACTTTAACTAGCGGTGAAAACACTGGACTTTACACTTTGAAAAACGAGTTTTCTGATTCACCATTTTTCTGTTAAAAAAATTTTGAAACAAGTTTTCATATTTGCAAATTTTTGATTTTTTAGTTGAAACTTTGCCGGAATCTCTGTTGTGAGCGTTTGTTAAATATCTGCTGTGCTGGAGCAAATTTGTCGAGTAAAATTGATTTTCGGGTATCATTTATAAATAGGATCGATAATTTTTCGGAACTTCCGGCCTTTAATCAAATCAAAAACA